GGCAAGTAGTTTGATGAACAACGCCATGTAAATTCAGGTACTGTTTCAAGTTTTGATTGATAAACTCGCCTCATTATCACTATGGATAACCTGAATGTTAGATTGATATTGAGTTGCAATCAATTTGTGAAATTGCTGAAATAGGGAACTCACTTCACTCTTTGATTTCATCAAGCAAATCCAAGTCATACGAGTGTGATCATCAATAAATGAAACAAACCAACGTGCTCCACTCAAAGAAGAAGTATTTGCGGGCCCCCATACATTAGAGTGAATAACCATAAAAGGAACAAGACTTTTATTCATACTAATGGAAAATGGAACACGATGGCTTTTAGCGAGTTCACAAATGTCACACTTAAAATCTGAAACAGTCAATTGCGAAAAAAGTTGTGGAAACAATTTTTGTAAATATCCAAAAGATGCATGGCCTAAGCACCTATGCCACAACCAGATTTTTGAACTTTGATTTTTATCAAGTGTATTAGCTGAAAAAACTTGAGCCAACTGATTTGAGCTTGTTGACATTAGATCCAGATAGTAGAGCTTCCCTCTCCTAGTACCATAACCAATTGTCTTCCGAGTCTGAATGTCCTTAAAGACACAAAGGTTAGGCCAAAAAATCACAACACAATTTAAAGTATGGGTTATTTGAGCAACATAAAATAAGTTATGATTAAGGGAAGGGACAATCAGAACTGAATTTAAATTCAAATTTTTTGTAAGAGAAATTGAACCTTCTCCTAACATGGGAGAAGGGGTACCATCGGCTGTGGACACTATATGTTGGTCTAAGGATTTTATGGATTGAATATGATTATTGTCAAAGGTCATGTGATTTGTGGCACCTGAACCAATTATTCTTTTACTGTGACTAACAGAGGTATGAAGAACCTTACCCACATTCCTAGAAGTAACAATGAAAGAGGAAGCTTTCTCAGGATGACTGGTGGAAGCATGACTAGGCTCGACCACAATAGCAGAAGCATGATGATTTGTCTTTGAATTTCATTTGCGAGGTGCTTTGGCAAAATCCCACCATTCTGGATATCCAATCAATTCATAGCACCATGACTTAGTGTGTCCGGTTCCACCACAATGAGTACACACACGTTCTGGTCATGCAGCTCCTATTCGTAGCCGCAATTTTTTGATCCAACCGGCTGATTATGATCATGATTCAGTGGACCAGATGTTCGATCTAGTTTTGGGTTTGTTTGTAGTTGTTGATACTTAACTCAGTGAGCTACCATAGCAGATGACTCTGAATATTCAGGTTCGCCATTCACTGCAGCTCGGCAAACAGAATCACGACGAACATACGCATAAGTTTCTTCAAGATCCAGTACAGGATCCCTCCTGAGAATCTCACCTCGAATTTGTTCAAATTTTGCATCTAGTCCATTCAGAAAAATATGCACCCGCAGTCTCTCAACTAATTTTTTATAGGCAATAACATCATCGGGATCTTTCATGACAATTTTATCACGATGATCTAGCTCTTGAAAATTTTCTATCAGATCACCATAATAGGTGGAAAGAGGACGACCAACCTGTTTGGTAGAGAATGCTCGTTGATTCAGTGCAAAAAGTTATGATTCATCTGCCCCATCATAGAATGCTTTGGCAAGAGTAGTCCAGATTTCACGTGCAGTAGGCAATCTAAGATAGCGTTTCATAATCTCTGGTGACATAGTGGTCAGTAACCATCCTTTGACCTTTTGATTCTCAGCATACCACTTCGCATAGGAAGTATCAGTAACCTTCGAAGATGTTTTACTCGTAAGATATTCAAGCTTCTCACGTCTTGCAATCTGCATTTCCATGATTTGAGATCAGACATCATAATTGGTTTCGATAAGAATGACATTAGTTGTGAAACTGGGGTTTTTTGATTGAACATGGATAACTGGTACAGAGGATGATTCGGGTTTGTCATTAGTCATGGTGCGAGGGATATATGAGAATTCAGGTTGTGATGATATAGAATGGATAATAATACCAACTCTGATACCAAGTCAAAAATACAGAGTTTTTGAGGAGAATACTCCAATAATCTTTTTCTATCCACTGTACAAAGATTTAGATCCTATAGTTTAGGATTGATCGACTAACTATAAGGAAACTATAGCTATTAAGATACAATCACATATTTACAGGGATTCTAGTAATTCTAGTCTATTTGTACAACTAGTAGTAGAGACAAATTAGGGGCTAGAATATTGGAGAACCAACTTGGAGATAATTACTCTTGATTGTCAACACCATGCATCTCTAGTTCTGAGTGAGCTTTGCCTCCCTCTTATTCTACATGTCCTGATCTGACCATGATCTTTTGGAGTCAGTTTCACATAGACACACGGGGGGAGGGGAAATTTTGGCTCCACCCTGCTTGGCATGTTCTTGTTGGTTGAAAAGTGAAAAGGGAAAAGCAGTGGTGTGTTAAGAAAGCGTTTGAAGACATGACTACCTTATCGGGATGCGGTTCATACTCCACGGCCACCAAGGTGTGAAGCAGGAGTAAATGTATAATATAGTGGTGATATCACTAACCAATAATAAAACTCCTATTGAAGATTGAGATATATCTCATGATTCATGGGAGGTTTTTTACGCGATTGATGGGTTGAAAAGTGAAAAGGGAAAAACAGTGGTGTGCTAAGAAAGCATTGAAGACATGCCTACCTTATCGAGAGGTGTTGTCAATATTATTATATAATATCACTAATCAATAATAAAACCCTATTGAAGACTGAGATATATCCCATGATTCATTGGAGGTTTATTATGTGATTGATGAGTCAATTAATTCGTCATATTTAGTGGCATAATATGATCTTTTGATTTATATAAATCCCTATGATTAAAGGAAATGATTGTGTTTGACACCCTATATATATATGGGTGTATCCCATGTGTATTTATCATCAAGAATAATAAAGATATAGCCCTTTATGGGTTTTGTGTGTGGACGTAGATCTAAGAACTGAACCACATTATTCCTTGATGTTTGTTTTTGATCAATTTTCATTTATGTTAAATTTTAACAACCCCAAATATGCAAGATGAACTCCACTTGTGTAGTTATTGTCTTACATGGATAGATAGTTATTAATTTGTGTGGGGTTTATTTTATTATTTATTTATATATTATTGATTGGTAATACTACAAAATAATATTGAACGGACGACGTGAGTGAGAACCTAGACCATAGCGGGTTTAGAGACTTCTCTCTCGGCTTTAACGGCGAGGAAAACGTTCTTCGAGAGGTTTTCCTTTCTGCTTTATTGTGGTTTACCCATAACCATCAGCGGCAAGGGTTACGGAAGAGGCCAAACCAATGCAGACCGGAAGATCTCACTTGTCCTAGACTGGACAAGTACGTAGAGATCTTCGTGGGACCGTGGGGGGAGTCTCGCATGCTGCAAGAGCATAGGTCAGTGATAAGCGTAGGAGGTGTGCCTGAAGGACAGTGACAACAGTGTGGTTCCAGGTGTCGTCGCTAGATTGAGATCTGTAGGGTGGCGGGGACTTTAGCTCATTTTGGACCACCTTCTACTTTTGAACCAGTTCTTGACCCCGAGCGTAGTGACCCAAAGAAAGGCGCACTGGCAGCTCGTAGTCGTGGTAGTAACACTGTTGTATCCTTTTTCGTGTCTATTGGATTGATATCTACTCTATTATTTTACTTCCTCACTACAAGTTCACTCACCCAATATTAGTAGGAGACTACTTGAAGATTTGAGTAAATGATCAATGTAGCATTCAATATGTTGTTGAGGCAAAATAATGTTGTAAATCATAAGTCTATACAAGAGCATAAACAGATATAATATTCTCCACTCTTCCCTCTAACGCTCTCTTTTGGGAAAAAAAATGTAGGGTTGAATTTAAACTAATGCAGCATATGTCAAACAATAAAAATTGTATCTAGTTCTTGTTTTAAAAAGGTAGTTTATATGTATGTTAGTATATAAATTATAGACATACGTATATAAACGTGTGTGTGTGTTTGTGTGTATATACTATCACATATGGTGTCCTTCTTAAGTGAGGTTTCTGATAGTTAGCATTTCATTCTCGAGATCTTCGTTTTTCTATACTCTAATGATAGTGCGCATCTCACACTCTCAACCTTTCCCCTCCTTACTTTGATTTTTTCAAAACCAACTAAATATGTCTCTTGCGCTCTTATATAGTATGTAGAACAATTGTTTTTACAAGGTTTGTTTCTAAAAAATAATATTTGATTCAATCTAAACTTGAGTCTACCTAGTTTTCTATAAGGGCTCACAAATTCTTCGACTACTACTTAACATATGTGTGTCTAGAGTTTTTTTAGCAAACATGGACAGCAAAATATGAAATTAATAGAAATACAAGGGTTTGGTAGAATTAGTAATCAATGCTTGAGAATGTTTGGTAGAATTTCTAGAAATACTTGTAAGCAATTTAGACAAATTTTTTCCTGCAAATGTCCCTCCCTATGCAATAAGAAAGGAAAACATAATAATCAGAGAAACTCAGCTGAAAAAAAAAAACACAATAGAAGTGAGGCAGAGACAACAGGTGGACTTCAATGGAATAGTCAATATAATTTTGTATACATAGATATTTCAAATTGGAATCACATTATCTTGATAAAATGTTATTGTTTATGTAAGTGTCATACAAGTCGAATTACAGTTTTAATTTTCTAAGATGGTTACTTATAATTTATGGAAAATTATTGAACACTAAAAATCTCGTACCTAATTTGTCAATAAGTCCAGTCATGGATTAGTTAAGACGTGAGGTCCAATTCAACTGGACTTTTAAGTCGAGAGGTCCAAACTAATTTTTTTCTTTTTTATTTATTACAAAAATATCCTCATTGATATTTCCAATTCACCTTCGTCTTTAGCGCCCCCATCCTTTTAGATGTACCTTCTTTATCTCTCTCTCTCTCTCTCTCTCTCTCACACACACACACCCCCAACCCCCAATTTCTACCTGTAAATTACAAACTTAGTTGTTCTTTTAGATTCGGCTCCTCTGCATCATCAGCGTCGGCTACCAGTTCGCAATTCTCCAGAACGATGTCGTCTGGTGGTTCTTCAGTGCTTTTTGGAGCTACACTGTCTAGGGCTGCTTTGTTGCTTTTTGGGACGTCCAATTTGTTTGGAGCTGCTTTGTCGTCTTCTAGGACTTCAAAATTCTAGGTTCACCTTGTAGTAACTCCAAGCTTCCTATCCAGATGGGGCTATGAAAGATAAGGGACGATCACAGTAGAAAGATAAGACAACATGTATGGTGTCTTGTGTTAGCCAAAGTATGCACATAATTAGAATTAATTACTAATTACTGTATCAAAATCTAAATCACTATGTATACTTTTATACGTGAACTAATTTAATAAAACAGAATGTTAAAATAGAAATAGTAATACACTATAGAGACGTAAAACTACACGAATACAATCCAAAAAATTAGAAAATAATAAAAATTCGAGCTTTGTGTAATCATAGTTTCTTTAAGATAGATTTGTTCCCTCTTGGTGCTTAAGGTTGATAAGCAATTGTCTCTCATGATAGAATCATTTTTATTATTTTCTAGTTTATGGGGGGCACTAAGTATAAGTTTAAAAATTTGCATTCTTAAGGATTAAAGTTAAAGACAAATAAATTTTTTAAATCATGTATAATACCTAAAATTTCATTGACAAAAGAGCCAAAAACTGATATACATGGGGTACAAAAACAAAAAAAAAATTGCAAAATAAGGTTCTAATTCGACCCCTTTACAAAAAATGAGACTAGCTATAGCCTTTTACAATTGATCACGACGTGATTTCATATTTTGAAAGCGTTGCATGATAACATCACTATCAATGCAATTGAAAATATCCTTCTCTATGTATACAATCAAGTTATTTGTCATCTATTGATTGCTCATTTGATTATGCGATTGATTCTTCACAATCTTCATAGTGGAAAATGCTCCCTCTACTGTGACAGTCGCAACTGACAAGATCAATGATAATGTTACAAGTAAGTAGACCAATGGATATACCACGTATGTTTTTGTCTCAACTATTTTCTGAGCAAGATCTGCAATCCCTAACAAATTTGAAAACTCAATACTAGAGTGTATATCAATAATATAACTATTCAACTGATCAGAAAGTATCATGAGCTCTGGTGAAGAATATTCTTTTGTATAAAATTGGGCAAGATGAACCAATTTCTCCTTGTCAAAAGCTAAGAAGGAATCAGAAGGACTCAAACATGCCACACAAAGAAGGAAATTACTGTTTGACTCAGTAAAACGACTATTTAGCTCTTGAAGTTGCATATCTATGACGAAATAAAATAACTCAATTTGATTGTGATGTAAATTTTTCTTTTTTTGAGTACGTCTTGACCTCCCTTGAGCTTTAAAGATATCGTCCATCTCTAGAACAACTATATCATATTTTTCACAAAAAATGTGACATCATCAAGAAAACAACTCCAACCAATTTCCCTCATCATTTGAAGTTGTTGCTTGGATACTTGAACTAATGTCATGATATTTTGATATTTCCTTTGTAATGCATGCGACAACTCTTTTGTGATTCCCAATATGCTTCTCATCAAATGAAGATTAAATACAAACTCAAAAGATTGTAGCAAGTCCAAAAGAACATTTGTCTCCCCTCTTTGTTCTGCATTTATACCAGCTTCTAAAATCATATCAAACACATCAATCACTAATGAGAATATATCAATCAAGCTGATCAAAGAATAATAATGTGGGCTTTAACGTATATCACAAGCACGTGTATGATTAGTTTCTTGATTTAGGCCTCGCCTACTTGAAAGCTCCTTATTATCGAGTAATTCAATAACTCTAGTCGCTTGTTTCTCTGTAAGAATATCTCGCCGTTTACATGAGGCTCCCACAATATTCACAATATTAGCTACCAAGTTGAACAAAGTTGTGATTTGAATATGATTATTTGCAACGGCCACAAGAGCGAATTACAATTGATGTGCAAAACAATGGACATAATATTCATATTCATTGTCCTTCATTATAAGTGTCTTGAGACCATTGAACTCACCTTGCATATTACTAGCCCCATCGTAACCTTGTCCACGCAATCTTGACAAGCTCAACCCATCTCTAGCAAATAAATCTTCTGCAACTGCCTTAAGTGAGAGAGTACTAGTATTAGTAACATGTTCAAAACCTAAAAGGTGTTCAATTATATGTCCCTTCTTGTCCACAAATCGCAACACAACAACCATTTGCTCATTTGTTGATATTTCACACGATTCATCAATAAGAACAAAAAAAAGTGCATCACCAAGGCGGGTCACAATAGCATTACATGTTTCAACAGAAGCTGCATTTACAATGTCTTTTTGAATTTCAAGCGAAGTCAACTTGAGATTCTCAGGAGCATTTTTCAACACAACAACTTTAATATCCTCATTGTGATCAGCAAAAAATCTAAGAAGCTCAATGAAGTTTCCTTGATTACTTGAATTTTTAGATTCATTGAGACCACAAAATGCAAACCCTTACCTTAGAAGAAATCGAATATAACCAATGGATGCATTCAACTAGGTTATGTACTCACTTTGAGCTTGGTCTGACTGTTTGAAGAAAATAGATTCAATACTTTGCTTTGGATTTAATAAATCTTGATATTTTCTCCAAGCTTGGTTATGAAAACTATTAACGCCACCAACATACATTTGAAACTTCTCTATTCGCTTCCAATTTGAAAAGCTCGAGCTAACAAAGGTTTCACCACCCGATTTTTCTCTCATATCTGATTTAAAAAGATAATAGCACAAGCAAAATATTGCATCTTTCACTACACTATACTAAAGCAGTTACCAAACTGAGAAAACCAAGCTTTGTTAAACCGTCGTAGTTTAACACCAAATTCTTTTTTCTGGAAAATTATGGTCACAGAGTTGATAAGGACCCTTTGTTGATAAGCTCTACAAATTTGGTTTCGATCATTAGGATTATAATCCATAATCCGAGGCCGTAGTCCAAGATCTGATGGAAGATCCGCCAAATTAATATGTATATGACTTTTCTTTGAAGAATCACCACCTCAGTTTGAAAGAGGTGATAACTTTGACTCAGACTCTCTCTTGAAGTACTTCTGCATGACTGTTTCAAAAAATTGTTCAAGAAAATGAGTTTATATATCCACTTTTATAATTAATTAAACAAACTATTTTGTCAATTTTATCCCTACTATTCTAAAGAATATATCGTATTAGGAAGCAAATACAAGTACAAATGCATAAAAGTATCCAATTCATAATTTTAATAAATCCAAGTAATATCATTCAAAGTATTAAAAATAGGTTTTTGATTGAGAGTTACAAAAAAATATTTTTTACTGTTGACTCAATAACCGCAACTCAAGGTCTTCAAGGCATCTCCAACTACTAATCGGGGCTATAACAAATCAAGAAAATAATTAGGGCAAAACGCACAAAAAAAAATAAATTAAGGAAAAATGTATAAAAATCCAAATAAGGGAAAAATGCACAAAAATATAAATTAGGGTTAAAAATTAAAATGCACAAAAAGTCAAAAATTTATCAAGAATAATTAATTCAAAATTTTAAAAATAAAAAACTAAAATGTGTATGCACATTGTAGTGTGCGCGTGTGTGTGTTGATCGAGAGAGAGAGAGAGAGAGAGAGAGAGAGAATACATTTATTTTGTTGGTGGTGGCCCTGTCTCAGTGCAAGGAACTGAACTTTACTCTCTGTTTTTTTGTGTGTTCTTTACTCTCTGTTTCTTCTCTATTTATTTTGGTTGGGAGCTTAGGCAGTTGGGAGTGAGTGAGACCAAGAGAAAAAAAAAAAAAAAACTAGATAAGATAGGCTTTAGTCAAGTGGGCCAAAATGTTTGTTTTTTAATGGTGGGTGAGCCAAAAGTTTTGTTTTTTTAATAGGTTTGAGTGGATTGTGATGTCAAAGATTTGATTTTTTTTAATAAGTTTGTGTAGATAATGGTGGGCTCAAATTTTTTTGTTTTAAATGAGCTTAATTTTTTATTTCTTTTGAATAAATAATGTGAGCCTAATATTTTTATCTTGGATTTTGGGTGGGGACAAATAATATATTATACAAATATATAATATATACCTAACTAATAAATTTTTTTTTTGGGGGGGGGGGGGGGGGACTTGCCCACCCTAGCCCATGCCTCCCTCCGTCCATGGGCACACGTGTGTGATAACGAATGTAGTGTAGAAGCTTACTCCAATCACTAAAGTGTGGTACCTCTTGGGGCCCAACCCATGAAGCTAACTAGGAATATATTAACTTATCAAAGTGTTGGTCTTTATCTGATATTGGACAAGTCTTAATCTATTATACCAATCTTAGTTTATTTCATCAATTCGAATGGGTCACTTTGAGACATAATTTCTCATTCAATACTTAATGGTTTTAAACAAATAAATATATGACATTTATCTTCTTGCGGAGGAGAATGTGTTTAAACTTGGTCCCACCATTTTTGAGATGTGGGTTCCACTTTTATTTAAGGTTTAAGTTGCTCAAATAAACTTGTTTAGAATCATTTTTTTTCCAACAATCCCCTACATGAATGAAAATTCAATGTATAAAAATGCAGACCTTAGTTTAAGTACAGTAGAAAGGTTACTATATCAGGATAAGTAGCCTAATAACCTTGAACATTTCGTATCAAAGACTATCAGATTTACTTGGTTAATCAGTGAACTTGATGTCTTTGAACTGTCAGTTGTTTGTGTAAACCAAGACAATGAAATTCACATAATTTTCCTTCGAACACAATTGGTTCTCACATTTGTGTTCATTGTGGCATTGAATACCACTTGGTTTCATGAGTAATTTAGAGTAACTAGCCTACAATTCTCATAGAAACGGCTCTTTCTTACTCACATAGGTTATTTCTTATTAAGAGTATCTTGCTATACCCTACCTGGACTTTTCTAAGTCACAGAGCTTCATTAAAAATGTAACTTACCCTAATTTTCATAGTAGATGTGCACTGTCTCATCATAGGAATGGGAAGGAATTACACAACTCCTCAGTGTGTTCTAAATTACACATAATTTGGTTGTCCCTTTGAACTTAGATTTTAAGATCTACAATCAACAAAGTTGAGTTGTCATTATGGTGACTCTTGGTTAAGTAAT